AGGACACCCGACAGACCTGTTAAGTTGTTGGGAACTCGTGTACGCTATCAGAGGTCTGTTGAGACATCGATAGGTGCACGTGGGCCTGATTTCTTAGGAGGTTCTACCACATATATCAAGAGGTGTGCAAAATAGATCAAGATTGGCATCATTTTGTGAACACTTCTCATTTGTGTCATCTATTGAACCTAAGAAGATAGATGAAGCTTTGTTGAATGTTGATTTGGTGAATGCTATGCATGAAGAGCTAAACAACTTCACAATGCATGAAGAGCTAAACAACTTCATAAGAAATCAAGTATGGGAGTTAGTTGAGAGGCCTAAGGACCATAATGTGATTGGAACAAAATGGGTCTTTCGGAACAAGTAAGATCAAGATGGGATAGTTGCAAGGAACAAAGCAAGATTAGTGGCTCAAGGTTATACTCAAGTTGAAGGTCTTAACTTTGAAGAAACATATGCCCCGGTTGCAAGATTGGAAGCAATTAGGATCTTGTTAGCCTATGCTTGTTTCTATAACATCAAGTTGTCTCAAATGGATATAAAGAGTGCATTTCTCAATGGGTACATCAATGAGCTTGTCTATATTGAGCAACCTCCTGGTTTTGAAGATGAGAAGAAGCCCAACCATGTTTATAAGTTGAAAAAGGCTTTGTCTAGATTGAAGCAAGCACCTAGAGCATGGTATGAGAGATTGAGGGACTTCCTACTCTCTAAAGGATTTAAGATGGATAAGGTTGACACCACTCTCTTCACCAAGAAGATAGGCAATGACTTGTTTGTGTTGCAAATCTATGTTGAAGATATCATATTTAGATCAACCAATCAAAATTTTTGTGAGGAGTTTGGAAATATGATGGCAAGTGAGTTTGAGATGTCCATGATTAGAGAGCTTATCTACTTCCTTGGTCTTTAAATCAAGCAAATGAAGAATGGCACGTTTGTGAGTCAAGGCAAGTACATCAAAGACATGCTCAAGAAGTTTGGAATGGATGATGCTAAAGCTATTAGTACACCAATGGAGACAAATGAAAACTTGGATAGTGATGCTAGTGGCAACATGGTGGATCAAAAGATGTATCGGTCTATGATTGGAAGCCTACTCTATGTGACCGCATCAAGGTCGGATGTGATGTTTAGTGTATGCATGTGTGCTAGATTTCAAGCATCACCAAGATAGAGTCATTTGAAGGCAACCAAGAGAATATTGAGGTACTTGAAGCATACATAAAATGTTGGATTGTGGTATCCCAAAGGAGTAAGATTTGAGTTGATTGGATATTTGGACTCCGATTATGCGGGATGCAAAGTTAAGAGAAAGAGCACATCGGGCACATGTTAACTATTGGGAAGATCACTTGTGTCTTGGTCATCAAAGAAGCAAAATAGTGTAGCACTTTCAACCGCCGAAGTGGAGTACATTTCGGCCGGTAGTTGTTGTGCTCAATTACTTTGGATAAAGGCTACTTTGAATGATTTTAGAATCAAGTTCAAACAAGTGCCATTACTTTGTGACAATGAGAGTGCCATAAAGCTCACTAACAATCCGGTTCAACATTCAAGAACAAAGCACGTAGATGTCCGCCATCATTTCATATATAAGATATCATCAACAAAAAGGGGACATTAAATTTGCATTGAGAGTGTGGGCACCGATGATCAACTTGCCGATATTTTCACCAAGCCACTTGATGAGAAGAGATTTTGTAAGCTAAGAAATGAATTGAACATACTTGACTTCTAAAATATGTGTTGATGCACCCCCCATATATGACATGCCTCTCCTTTGAGAAAAGCAAGGTAAAGTTGTTTGACATGTTATTCATTCTTTGCTAAGGACTTGTTTAGTGCATCTAGTCATTCCTCACATGTCTTAGGCTCATTCATGAAAATCAAATGAATTTAATGCTTGTATGTACCACTATTGCTTGTATGCTTGACATGATCTAACGGTAGCATATGATATGTTTGTGGGCTTGTGAACCTAGTGTTTAATCTAGAAAATGAGCTATAAGTGTTTAACTCAACATTATCATGATAACCCATGAAATAAGGTGTGAAGAAGCTTGCCATTAGATCAAACCGAGTTATATATCTTTTGCAAGTGATCTAGATTGAACCAAATTGGAAAAAATGATCCTCACTTAACATGGTTTCACCCCAACCTATCTAAAATTTGAGTTCACCTTTTGTGGTATTTGATGTCAAAGGGGGAGAGACATTCACAAAGATAGTAAGATAGGGGGAGCCAACAAATGAAATAACATTGTAAAGGGATCATTTAAAATTTGAAGCACACAAGTAGGGGGAGAAAGCTCATAAGCTTGTACGTTGCATTTGAATGTGCATTACATATGTTTGCTTGCATGGCACAAGTTTTTAAAATTATATATCCATGCTTGTGTGGTGTATGATAGATTATAGAAAAATGATTGATGAAATAAAAAACTAGCATGCATAGGATAGCTAGACACTTGAATTGTTGTTACAAGTTATACTAGAGCCTTGTTTCTAATGTTGATCTCACGAGGTATCTAGTGGTTGTAGTTTTTAAGTGATATCTAGCAAACCATGGTGCTAAGAATGGTGTTCAAATGGCAACTCCGATTGGTATCATGCTTCAAAGGTCCATTCTTTACACCTTAGCATCATTTGGTAGCTATTACTCTCCCAAACTTCCTATCTATGCATATGTGCAAGCTTTCAAATCCTAACTCTAGCACATATGTAGGGCGATCTAATACTACCAATTCGAGTTTATGAAACTTGTCCACATCCTTTACACATGGTAATATGCTTGGGCAAGCAACATGAATCCAAAAAGATTTCATTGAATATCTTTATGAAGGGTTGTCATCAATTACCAAAAAGGAAGAGATTGAAAGCTGTAGTTTGGTTTTGGATAATTGATGAAACATAGGACTAACCTTTGATCTAAGTGTGTGAATTAGATAAGATAGTCCAATCCAAGTGGTGGAGCTAGATGATGGTCATTGTGAAGGCGATGGCCACAGTAGAGATGATCAAGTGCTCTAACTTGGAAAAGAAGAAAGAGAAAAACAAAAATCAAGGAGATCAAGGCAAATGTATCAAATAGGTATTTATTTTGGCACTTAAGACACCATAGAGGGTGTAAGTGCGTTTAGGATCGATAGCCATACTATAAAGAGGGAAAATCTTTGGCCAAGCGGTTATCAAGTGCCACTAGGTGACATGATTCTTGCATATGCATTTAGGGACCTAGTATGATAACCTTGACCCTTGAAAAATGCTAACACACGAGCACATGAGTTGTACACACTGTGGTTAGCAACTTGGAAGCAAGGGTGAAGCAGTTGAGGAGTTAGAAAAAGAAAAAGGAGGAGACTGATGTGACCGAACTCTAGCGTCGGGGTGACCGGACTCACCTCAGGCGCGTCCGATCAGCTAGCGCAGGGAGGCGCGCCCTCGGGTCTTTGACCAAACCCAGCCGAGGAAGCACGACTAGAAGCGCAAGAGCCATGTCCGGTCGGTATAGACCTAACGCGTCCGGTCTCGAAAAACCCTCTTGAAGTGCTTACTGGAAGTGAACGGTCTCCACGTGGTGGAGCGTCCGATCACACTAACGGCGCGTCAGGTCACTGGCTTGGCCATGCGAGCGGGCTCGACGCCGGTGCATCCGGTCGCGCTCTGGTGCATCCGATCTTGACGTTTGACTCGAGTTGACCATTTTTGACCGTTGGGATCGCGTGGATGACGTTGAACGCAGGGGACACATGGCTGCATCCGCACGAATGGACGCTGGCGTGATGCGTCTGGTCATTTCGACCGGCGCGTCCGGTCAGCACGCAGAGAGCTCCCCTTCGTCCCTAACGGCTCTATTCGTTTGGGGAGCTCTATAAATAGCTCTTGACTGGCTTGGAGCTCACTATCTTGGCACTTTGACATATTTGACATCCTTGTGAGCCTAAGCAAACACCTCCCATTCATCTTCATCATTGATTCATCATCATAGTGAGATTGAGAGTGATTCCAAGTGCATTTGCTTGAGTGATTGCATCTAGTGACACTTGATAATCATTGTGGCTGTGGATTTCTTGTTTATCTTGGTGGTTGCCGCCACCTAGACGGCTTGAAGCAGCGGAGGGCTTAGCACGAGTTGATGATTGTTCATGGCCATCTCCCTATGATTTGTGAGGGGTCTTGTGCCTTCCCTGACGAAGCGTCAAAGGCAACTCTAGTAAATTGCTCGTGTCATTGAGTTATTTCACTTGGGGGATAGATTCTTGTGGCGTCCATTTGTTGGACTAGGTTTGTGAAACACCTATTAGCCGCCAAACCACCAATGTTGGTCGACACAACAGGGACTAGGCGTGCCGGCAAACACGTGAACCTTGGGAGAAAAATCGTGTGTCATCTTGTGATTGGATTTCTCCCGGTGATTGATTGTCTTTCATATTGTGATTGGTTCATTCCTCGACACAGCGATATAATCACCCTACTCATTCCTTTACATTCTTGCAAACTAGTTGTGTAGCAAGCTCTTTAGTGTAGCTAGTTTTGAAAGCTTGCTTGCTAGTTTAGTTTCACCTAGTGGAGCTCTCTAGTGTACCCTTGTTGAGAGCTCTTGGTGAGTAGTGACTTATGCCATGTTCGTTTGGTTTATAAGTCGTATTTTTTCAGCCAATGAACAATATTTTTCTCTAACAACAAATCAGCTAATAGTACTTTCAGCCATGGCTTATCAGCCAAACGAACAGGACATTAGCTCTTGTTGTATGCCTAGTGATTATAGCAACTAGAATTGTTTGGATAGGTGACTTACAACCCTTACAGAGCTAGAGCAAAATTACATTTCATTGTTCAGTATATTGAGTGGTTTTGCTCCAAGGTGAGCGCCTATGTCCAAATCCAATACAAATGAGCAACGAATGCTTGGCCTGGTGGTCTCACACTCGTCAGACAGGTTTGACTCAGACCCCCAGTATACAAAACAGTACACTGCTTGATGCTCAAATATCCTATGACCTTCCTGATAACATGACAGAGGTGGCATGTATCTCCAAGGAGTGCTCTGGTATGTACGCAAGGCCTGCAGGGCAGCAGTCACTTCCCAAGACTTTTCTTTTTATAAAGGTTCTCAAGGCTTATAAAAAGATAAAAGGTATATGACATGAACCAGCTAAAATAACGAATGTATTTTTGGTAGTCTAAATCCACTGCACTAATTAATTTTTGTAAGTCGCTACAAACCAGGACAACTAATCCTTCAAGCACTGACAGATAGCAAGCAAGTAACAGACCGACACTCCCTTCTTAAAGTCGAACACTTTTTTTTTTTTTTTGCGAGATAAAGTTGAACACTTACTGCATTGGCAACATTCTGCATTTAGCTGCCAAGTCCTTCTTTTGCTTTTTTTTAGAAAAAATAATGAAATATTACCTTTCTCACTTGCAGTTATTTGAAGTGTATCAACTGTAATGATTCCATCTGTTAATGGAAGCAGTTCAAGTTTGGCAGTGGTGCTTGAACGTGCAGGAACATACCTGTTAGCCACATTCACCACAGCTAAATGTTATTCGACGGTGTTTTGGAATATAAGTAGCTCAGTCTCGAGTTGACTCTTTAGAGTAAAGGAAAACAGGGAAGGGTCAATACCCTAGGGGCACTGCACTCTGCAACCACAGATGAGTACAGCCTGAAGCATTACTCATTCTGTTTCCTCCATTGTCACCTTCTTTTGGAGATTGAGCTAGGACAGAATTCAATCCTTGAAAGCCGATTACATGTTTTCCCAATCCAGATCTTTTTGCTGACTGATTAACACCATCAAAAGAACCATTTGGGGTTGCTGGATCTGAGTTTAAGGATACAACTGAAGAAGAACCAGACGCTTCAGGAGTAATGACAGTTAACGTAAGGTTTTCTGATGTCATATTAGTAGCTTCGAGTGTTAATGTTACGTGGCTGCTAGGATTGAGAGGGAGAGAGAGAGCTGAGGGAGAGGCGGCGACGGAAAGGTTTTCTGATGTCATATTAGTAGCTTCGATCTATTCACGACCATGCTTGTGGCGATGGCGGCTGCGAGGGTGCCGGGGGCCTTGCCCACGGCCGAGCAAGAGGGAAAGGATTTCCTTCTTAATTCTTGCTTGATTAGATTAATACACCTCATCTCCTTATATAGAGAGGTTTACTTGACTTCCAAACAAGGCTTACTTGACCCTTAAGTAAGTGACTCTTATCTCTAATTAACCCAAACATTAATGGGCTATACAGCCAGCCCAGGCCTAATAAGCCCCTGACGTACTCTAACACTACACCTCACCTAGACATGCAGCTCGTCCTCGAGCTGCAACCTAACGAACTTATAACGCTGACTCGACTCCTAACACCTAAAAACAAGCCTTTTACATCTTGGCTTATTTTATTATTCTCAATCTGAAATGGACTGGGACTCTTTATTTTTGACTCCTAAACATAAGGTGGACACCATCCGCACACCAAACCTGCATGTGTACAGCCTCCTGGATCCCATGGACACCATCTAGACAAAAGGGGTGCATGTGTATGGCCACCTGGAAGTGGTCGCAACAGCGACCAATGGAGGCGCCCTCGCGGCGGCCAGTGGCAGAATGTGACGGTGCTACGCGGTGTGCTCTCGCTAGTGACCCCACGCCTTCTCCCCTCCAGACGGCTGCTGGTCTACACCGCACAGAGAAGAGCGTAGGGCTTTCGATGAAGAACGAGGTGGAGGGATGCGCCTCCCCAACCGCCGCCCGCAGGGAAAATAGCATCTCCGCCGCCCGTGGGGGAAACCGCATGCCCGAGATCCCCGACGCAGCGGACGAGATCGAGGTCCTCCGCGCAGCGAAGCGCGACGTGGACGAGCTACGAAGGGGTGCAGGGTTGAATCAGCTGCAGATCACACATCTCCCGCACCCGCCGACGTGCTAGGAGGTCGCGCGTAGCAGCCTGCAGCCGCACCGCAGCCGACACCTGGCGGGTAAGCATCTTCCCCGCTAAGGGATCCGGCAGTGGCTCATCGGAACCTGGCATCGGGAACTCCAACTTGTAGAAGCGCGGAGGGTGAGCGTCGTGGCTAACACCCGGAGCGGCTGGTTCTGGAGCAAAGGCTGCGGACGACGAGGCGCTGTGGTGGTGCTGCATGTTGCCGCCGTAGAGTAGAGGGCCATCAACGCCTCCATAGAAAAACCCCTCGGTGTAGGAGGGCTGCTATACCGCCCCACCGTAGTGGATCATGGCGCCTGTGGTAGGGGCTAGGGCAGCCAACGCCGTGGTCGTCGGAAACGTTGCCATCGTATACACCAGCCCTACCGTCGGGGCCAGGGCATAAGATGGGATCGGCGACGGGGAGGGCGGCATCCGCAGTAGATGGATGGGCACGCTAGTGGTGCTGGAGTAGGGCATCCCATACGGCAGCACCGCTGGCAGGGTGGTCGCAGCCGGTTGCTATTGGTGTGGCGGCGGAGGAGGTGGCAGCTAGGGCACATAGGGCCCGACAAGGAAGGCCCTGATGCCTGTCACGGCCTGCCCTAATTTCAGGATCGCGGCCGTCATCTGCTCTGGGGTGAGGACGAGGGCGGCGGGAGACGACGGCGCCGGGGCAGAGGGCGCGATCGCCCCTGAGGACGCCAGTGCGCCTAATGCCGGCGCGCCTAATGTGTGGGGCAGCCGCGCCGACGAAGACGCTGGTGGCGGCGGGTGGGTGTGCGGCGGCGGCGGGTGGGAAGAACTCGGTAGAGGACTGAACATGATCGAACCAGAGATCTCTGATACCAGATTGTTATGTGGCTGCTAGGATTGAGAGGGAGAAAGAGAGCTGAGGGAGAGGCGGCGACAGACGGCTACAGTACCCGTGGTGCTACAGTAAGGTGTGCAATGTTCACTACCATGCTTGTGGCGACGGCGGCTGCGAGGGTGCCGGAGGCCGGTCGGGGGCCTTGCCCACGGTCGAGCAAGAGGGAAGGAATTTCCTTCTTAATTCTTACTTGATTAGATTAATACATCTCCTCTTCTTATATAGAGAGGTTTATTTGACTCCCAAGTCAGGCTTACTTGACCCTTAAGTAAGCGACCTTTATCTCTAATTAACCCTAACACTAATGGGCTATACAGCCAGCCTAGGCCCAATAGGCCCCTGACGTACTGGAAGGAGATGATATATCATAGTCAAGGTGATAAATGGAGAATTTCTGTAACATAATTGAAGAGATACTGCAATAACCTGCACAGGGAGTTGAGGAACTCGAGCACCCAGACTTGGATTTCGAAAAGACAGTTCGGATGATACAGAGATCATAAGATTGCTAGTTGCAGAGGGTCGCCAGCTCGTTGCTTGCTTGAAAAAAAGTTTCGATTCTACAAAGATAAAAGGGCTGAATCAGAACTTTCCACTCCATTCCTGTTTCACAGAATCTATTTGTCTTGTCAAACAATTTACCTGTGTAATTGCAGCGATAAGACACCACTACAGCATACTGGTCACCTACAGCAGCATATGGCTGACCAGACCTTGGTATATGATTATTTAAAGTAGATTCAGTCATTGTTGAGAGTGACAGAACCGGAGGTGCATCACTGTTGGTCTTCCGTTCCCTTGATGACATGATTGCTGGCTTGAGAATAAAAGAGTGCTCCTCGCCCCTCCTAGAAAAATAACAAATAATGTAGAAATTTAAAACAATTGTCACATCCTTTATTACAAGCACACAACACTAAAGTGAATCTTGGATACGGAAACAAAAAATTGTGGTAAAATGTGTCCAAAACATGTTGCAGTATATTTTTTTACTTATTTTGCATCTGAAGCTGCTAAGTTTGGCATTTTCAAAAGGTAATAAATTTCTTATGGCTGAAATTATGTCTTGATTCAAGTTTACATAAAGCTGCAATAGCAGGTAGATCATGAGCAGAATCAATGAGAAAAGTAGTATATACCTGAGTGCTAGATTTGGTAAGTTGTGATCATGCCCAACCTCAGTACTAGCAATTGGTAATGACAAAGGGGCACCTCCTTTGGATGCCTCCTCAAATACGATAGTAATTGCATCAATGAACACAACTATATCTTTCGCATGAATAGGAGAAATGTTCTGCAACAGGAATTCATGGTATAAACATTATCTTTGGAACATTAGTTTACGAAATGAAACATGAATGGATGTTTTGATATATCTGACAAACCTTTACTGAGACACAGAGAAGATTTTCCAAAGTACATTTTGCAGCAAAAGAATGAACCTCGATTGGTTGAATGATTTCAACTTTTCTCCGCCATCTTTTTCCCAGTAGATACACACCTTCTAGACAACAACGTACAGAATACCGTTCAGGTTCCAAAGGAACTCCTCTAAATGAAAGTTGCCCATCATTAATAATAGCAGGGGGTTTTGCAGGTTTTTCATGCATAAATTCTTGACTTTCAGATATTGGTGGTGGTTTTATATTATACGGTGTCTGAACAGAAGAGGTGAAGGCATGGAGTAGCTTATAAAGTTAAATATTTGAGACCCAGGAGCAGAATAAGAGTTGTGTGATACACTTGTATTGAGAGTAGGGGGTGCTAAAGAAGAGGCGGTAATGTACGATCTAAAGGGAGCACCCAATTAAGCAGCTCCCGACATGGATCATCATTACTGTCAGAAAGTCCATCCACAAGAGTACCGTTCGGCTGGGGGCGGCTGGATGGCTGGGCTAGCCAGTCCTCTCACATGAATACTGTTCATGTGAACCAGCCAGCGATATTTCTCTTTCACATAAATGAACCAGCAATGATACGAATCAGCCAACCGAATAGGCTAAATCAAACATATAATTAATTGGTGTACTTTTCTCAAACTCAAGAACTTCAAGCACAGGATCTTCCAGTTAGTTAACCCCAACATTCACATGCAAAACAATCTGCATCCTTCCACCAGAAAACCATTGCTGAATCAGCATGCATTTAAACCATAGAAAATTGCAACAAACTACATGGCTGAATAGTTAATCAAATAGTGCCTGTTTGGTTTCGTGGCTTGTTTCTAGCCTGGCTAGAATCTTAGCCTGAGACAGCTTTTACATGCTCCTACCAAGCCAACTCTAGTTGTTTGGTTGTCTGTGTTATCTAAGCGTGGGTAGCATAGGGTGTGTTTGGTTACTTAGTTTACTTTGCATAGAGTCATCTCTTCTTCAAATTGGTAATTTTACCCCCTTTAAGGGATTTCATCGAATAGGTGGTAGTCATCCTCGACTGTAGCAGCATGACGAGCACGGCGAGCAGTGTTGGGAACGCCGGTGATCAAGAGTCCCGACGGTGATGAAGATGCACTCAAACGAGCTAACAACTGAATCAGCTAATCTAGACTGAAACTGACGAAACTGAATAAGCTAGACGCACTGAAACTGACGAAACTGATGAAGACGCACTGAAACTGACGAAACTGAATAACAACTGAATCGCAAGTACCAGACTGGAATAGCACAGATACGATAGGCGAGGATGCCAGCTTCTAACAACACACATCAGATCAACGACTATTACTCCAAATCCCAAACCCAGATTAGATGGGTTCCCTACTTTCTCCAAACACAGGAGAGGGACACCAGATGGGCGAGCAGCAGCTTGAGCTTCTTGAGGCCGTAGAGCATGGAGTCGAAGAGGCTCCACTCGCGCAGCAGCATGGGCCGCGGCTCGTCCTCGTAGGCGATGCGGGACGCTTCGGGCGCCCGGACCTTGGTGCCGTCCTTGAGCGTGACGACCGCGCCGGCGCCTGATGGGTCGAGGTTGCCCGAGCCGTTGATGTGCTGCTCCAGCTCCATGACCGCCGCCTGGTTCCGCTGGGAGGACCTCGACGCGCACCTCGCCTCTATCGCCGCCAGGTTCCGAACCTCGACTCCGTCCACGCCGACGGCATCTTCGGTGCAGCAGCTGCTGGGGATCCAATCACCGCGGGCGGCGGAGCGGCGGAGCAGAGCACGACCGCGGGCGGCGTGATTGGAGCGGCGGAGCAGAGCGACCGTGGGCGGTGACAACACTTCAGACGCGGGCTTAGCCAAGCCTGGCCAGGGAAAAAACGGATCTCCATCTCGCTTTTGTGGAGCCAGGATAAGGCCTCCAAGGTGGCTTAGCTGCAGGCTGTTTACACTAGGGATGAAAACGGATCGGATACGAACGGATATCACTCATATTATATTTATTTTGATATTTCTGTTCGGATTCGGATTCGGACACGGATAGCGTTCGGATACATATACGAATACAGATTGACTCGGTTACGGATACGAATAATGAGTATCGAATACGGTATGAATCGGATTCGGAGAAGATCGGATACAAATATCTATTAGGATATTGAGTAAAAGCATATATATATATATATATATATATATATATATATATATATATATATATATATATATATATATATATATACGCATGTATAAACCATTACACCACTCTATGAGTCCATAATCCATCTAGATTAAGCCGAAAGACTAAAGAGTAAAGCAACAAATAAGATAAAGATACAGATACATCATACATCAAACATCATATAAGCACCAATCTTCGCGGCATGAGTAGAAATAGCCAAGCACATTGCTTCATGGATCTCATGGAGTCATGGTCATGGATTCAAGATCTACAATCCTTATATAGGCCATTTTTTCATTTTGAGAAAGTTTGAACAAAATGTAGTTCAAATTTTACAAGTGTGTGACATAGTTTTAGAAAGTCTGTATGAGATTTAAGAATTTGTGACTAGTGTTTGATAAAACTTTCTCAAATGGGAAAATGAGCTATGTAACAATTGTATATCTTGCTGAGATAATCAAACTTGGTATTCAGAGTTTTTTCATCTGAGGTCATTTAGTGTCTCATTTGAGCAAGTTTGACCAAGTCAAATTTGGTCAAATGAAAAAACAACACTTTGACTCTAGTATTATGAACTCTAAATGACTTCAAATTGAAAAGTTTTGAATACCAAGTTTGTTCAACTCATCAAGATCTACAATTCTTGTTTTGGTCAACTTTCCATTTGAGATAGTTTGGACGGTTCAAATTTGTGATTTTTAAATTTCGATGCTTACAAACTAGTTTTCGGAACCCTAAATTGTCTCAAATTGAAAAGTTTAAAATACCAAGTTTGTTCAGATCATCAAGATCTACAATCCTTATATAGGCTATTTTTTCATTTGAGAAAATTTGAATAAAATGTAGTTCAAATTTCACAAGTGTGTGACATAGTTTCAGAAAGTCTATATGAGATTCAAGAATTTGTGACTAGTGTTTGATAAAACTTTCTCAAATGGGAAAATGAGCTATGTAACAATTGTATATCTTGCTGAGATGATCAAACTTGGTATTTAGAGTTTTTTCATCAGAGGTCATTTAGTGTCTCATTTGAGCAAGTTTGACCAAGTCAAATTTGGTCAAATGAAAAAACAACACTTTGACTCTAATATTATGAACTCTAAATGACTTCAAATTGAAAAGTTTTGAATACCAAGTTTGTTCAACTCATCAAGATTTACAATTTTTGTTTTGGTCAACTTTCCATTTGAGATAGTTTGGACGGTTCAAATTTATGATTTTTAAATTTCGACGTTTACAAACTAGTTTTCGGAACCCTAGATTGTCTCAAATTGAAAAGTTTTGAATACCAAATTTGTTCATCTCATCAAGATATACAATCCTTATATAGGCCATTTTTTCATTTGAGAAAGTTTGAACAAAATATAGTTCAAATTTCACAAGTGTGTGATATAGTTTCAGAAAGTCTATATGAGATTTAAGAATTTATGACTAGTGTTTGATAAAACTTTCTCAAATGGGAAAATGAGCTATGTAACAATTGTAGATCTTGCTGAGATGATCAAACTTGGTATTCAGAGTTTTTTCATCTGAGGTCATTTAGTGTCTCATTTGAGCAAGTTTGACCAAGTCAAATTTGGTCAAATGAAAAAACAACACTTTGACTCTAGTATTATGAACTCTAAATGACTTCAAATTGAAAAGTTTTGAATACCAAGTTTGTTCAACTCATCAAGATCTACAATTCTTGTTTTGGTCAACTTTCCATTTGAGATAGTTTGGATGGTTCAAATTTGTGATTTTTAAATTTTGAATAAATATCCGGATAATATCCGTTTTTAAATATCCGGATATATCCGATACTTATCCGGATTATCCGATATCCGCCGGATATCGATGATATTACATCCGTATTTGATATCCGCCTAAGATATCCGTTTTAGTATCCGTATCCGAAAAAAAACCGGATATCCGAGTAACTATCTAGATAAGTGTTCATATTTGTTCGGTCGAACGGACGGTCGAATAAATATCCGTACCGTTTTCATCCATAGTTTACACGCAACCAAACAGCGAGAAGTTAGCTTCTTAAAGCCTGGTCCAAACAGGCCGCAGTAACACCACAAACTTCTTATACACAATTACTTTTTTTTTTAAAAAAGTCATGCTTTTCTCTGCGACTAATATATTAATGTATTCTGTAGTTACATAGAAGGAATCACATGGATTTTATGAAAATTAATTAATTAATTGAGTATATTTCAGAAAATTACATTAAGGTTGCAAAAAAATCACAAAACTACAAGAATCAATTTCACAAACGTACAGTTCTATTGACATTCTATATTGATAAACTAACCTTTTTAATAATAAACATTGCAAAACCAAACTTCTATTATGATACTGCATTGCATAACTACACATTACTTGTTTCATGTCGCAGATTACACATGAAAAGTTTCAAGCCCAAATGAAAATGCAGTTTCACGATATGGAATGGCAATAAATGCTGAGTTCTGCAATATGAAATGAAAAAAGAAGTATACAGCTGTGAAATAAATTCTAATTTCAAGTGCAGTTTTTTTTTATATGCATGTGAATAGAACTGTATTGCAAAATTGGTTACAAGAAGTGTAATGTAGCTTTCTGAAAGTTACTTTAATTATAGAAGGCAATGTGATATTTAAAAGTTTTCAGGACACATCAGTAGCTAGTTCCAATCTACAATAGCACTGGGTGCCAAGTTCTTTACATAGATGCCCTTATTAAGTGGAAAGATATATATACTTCACAGCAGTTAGTAAAGCCATTAGAGGAAATGTTGCCTAAAGAAACAAAAAGGACAACAGTCAAAATCTAAATGAACTTGCTAATTAACAACGCGTTGAATTTGAGTTAGCAGCAGATCTGAGTCGATTTCCAGGTAGGTGCCTGATGCTTGGATAAGCTTAGGTTGAAGCACAAAGCTTGCAGTTGTTTATGCAATGCCCATCAACACCCAGTGGTAATGCACTGCAAGAAGTTGTAGTACATCAGCCTGTTCGCTTGCTCGTAAACGATCGTAAATTTCCAGTCGAGAATAGTGTTTTTCTCTCACATCAAACCAGCCAGCAGTAAATAATCCACGATACGATACGGCCTCCCGAACAGGCTGCATAATGTCACACAGCAATTAAAAGGGACCCTTCAGGACATACCACTATGTCTCCATTCTGCAGATAATAACACTTCACAGTATCTCGAGCGACTCCCCCAGATGTACTACCATAAAAAATCCCTTTATCAGAAATGGTATTGTAAACATTACTCCTTGAGGTCTTACTATTGCCCTGGATATCTGACCAGTCCTCTGCCGTCGTAGTTGCAGTTACTCTTTTCTTGGACCAGAGAGGTTCGTCTGACTCTGCAATTCGGACAAAAAAATTGGATTCTTTGAATCTTTGCAACATATGTTCTATTTGCTTCTTATGATCTTCCATCTGAAGGAGAGATTGAGTCTCCAAAATATCATGTTCTGAAGGACAGCCTTCACCATTGAGTTCCACATCCTGATAGCCACTTTCTCCAGCTTCTCCATTATCATGACCATTTGCACTGACAGGGCTAGATTTATTTGTAGAGTTTTGCAAAGAATTTCCATTCTTAGACATCACTGCAGCAATTCTAAAGGGGGATATAGCCTGCGTATCTTGCTTAGAAGCTGACAGGCATGCTAGTATATGAACCTGCTCGCCTGATAACTGAACCAAGTCAATTCCAGAAAATACAGAACAATGCAATAGAACCAGAGCGTTTTACTAAAATCACAAGGAAAACACATTTACCAGGAAAAAGGAAGGAACGGTCCAGAGCCTGCAACTGTACCATTTCTGAAATATCATTCCAACTTTCAGGAAGTGCCTCTGTAAGCAAATTGTAGATGTTACTAACTAGCAGAGATAATAAGATGCTTTCACTAGCATCAACTGTTCAGCGGATAAATGGTTGGCTGACACTTTTAATCTAAAACTAAGTTATGGTCAATAAGTTGGTAGTAAAGGAAAAAAGGCTGTATAACCTTACTTATGCAATGCAGATCAAGGATGAGGATAAGGAGTGATCACTTGGTTCATGAAAGATAAGTTCCGTCTGATGAATAGAAAACATGAAGTGTTTATGATATATAACAAAAATGAGACAAGTCAAAGGCACTCAACTGTATGGAATTGTGATCCACCCTTCGTCCTCCGCGACATCAGTATGTGTCCATGGCCGGACTGGACTTTTCGAATCTAGAGATGAAGGATCTCTGCTGATATTCCCGGAACCATTATTAGCATCTCCATCTTCACTGCGGGCGGAGGAGGGCTGGTGTGGATCATCTGCGATGAGACCCTCCAGTGTCATAGTTGGCTTTTGTAAGGAATCACTATGATCATCTTGCTCTGAAATTCTTGGCAACTCAGGTGCCGCAGGCTGCGAAGTTCGATACAGGAAATTCATTTCCCAGTACTGCTCGAGTTACTTCCTGCAGAGCAAATAAATGCAGAGGGGTAAACGGACAAGATCCACACCTTATTTTGGTAATTTCAAAATCACATGAAAACAGAGAACATTTTTAACACAGCATATTCAAGACCAGGGCGGATAGGCAATAATCGGATCATGGATTGGGCTACATCAGTAGGTTAACACAAGGCAGCAAATAACTGATCAGAATAAAGATAAACAATGAAAAATTTGGGTGTATGATGGAGAAATGTTTTGAACTTTTGGAACCACCATCAGTGTTACGTTTTTTTAATGGAATAATCAGTGTTACGTTCTTTAATTAGCTGAAATTAAACTGAACTTATGTCGCAATTTCAAAGACTATGCTGCCTACAGCTCAGGGGCGGACCCAGTAAAGTACATGAGCGTACACATTTAGATCCGATAATTTTTGCAAAACAATCGTAAGTTACTAGGCACAATGCATGTTGTAATTGGATCAGATCCGAATACAAACGGTAGGGTAGGGTTTGGGTGTTCGGTTTCGCACGGTAGGAAGGGAAGACAAGGAATGGGCCTACCTGGTGGTGCTCGTCGCCGGCGAAGGGCCCGAAGTGACCTGGGCACCTGGTGTAGGGCGGCAGCGACCTGGCCCCAAGAAGACCTGGGCACCTGGCGTAGCGAGAGAGAAAGGGAAAAGGCCACGGTTGCTGACCGGGGTCCTTGTAGGGACGCTGGTGCAGATGTAAGAGCACCTGGTGTAAGAGCATCTTTGAGCGAGATGAGAAAAAAACTCAATCTAGTAACTCATAATTCATACTTAGGAAAAGTCATCCAGTTCCACGTAAAGTTACGCGCTTTCGAGTCGGCGCGTATCTTATCTCCCCGCGCGTATTTGTAGGCCAATCTAAAGGTGGAAGGATGTGGAAAGAATAAAAAGTAGGAAAAGATTTTTATGCAAATGTTCAAGAGAGAAATAATATATAAAAGTGGTTAGGATAATTTAGAAATAGTATATGATTTATGATGTAAAATTGTCTTCTATATTTTAGAAGTTAATTATTAGAAACTCTTGGAGATGGCCTTCTTTATTTCTTCCGATACTTTTTTAAAAGTTATAAAACTTTATATTTTTGGAAAGAAAATATTATGTATCCTTGAGATGCTCTAACAGCGTTTCGGAGCTCTATCTATTAGTAGTAGCAAAGTGAAAGACTAACCAAACCTCGTAGCTAAGGTTGGAAGAATGGAAGTTGTATTCTCTCCTGGCAGTACCAATGCCCGGACACCCACGGCAGACGGGGACCGTCTGCGCCCCTCTTCACGCTTTTCCCTCTGCTTCTCACGCCCGTGGCAGGCGGGGACCACCCGTGCTGCTCCCCTGCTTTCCCCTCCTTCTCGTGCCCATGGCAGGCGAGGACCGCCCGCGCCGCTCCCCACAATTTCCCCTCCGCTTCTCGGGCCCGCAGTCGTGCAGCACTCCATCCCTCCGCTCTCCACATGCATGCACGGCGCCCCAGCAGCTACAGCAGGCGGCTGTGACATGTGAGTCACATTGCAACATGTACAACATTTACAACATATGTGTGAAACATATGCAACATTCAAATAAAAAACACTTGCAATGTACGTCTGAAAAAACAAATGAAACATTTAAAACAGACGCTTGCAACATACGTGTATAGCCATTGCAACATATGCAACATCCCGATCTACTTTTGCAATATCCATATGAAACACTTGCAACATACCTCTAAAACATTTAAAACAATCGAAACATATGTTTGCAATATCAGGGGAGAGACTGGGCTAGTCGATTCTGGCCGTCAAGGTGAGAGCCGACGCCGAGCGGTGGCGCGCGAGCACCACCAGTACTGCCCGCGCTCGTGGGTGCCCCTTGGCTCGGTCGAGGACGACCTGAGGTGCCCCGTCACGTGCGCCCAGCCGCCATCGGTAGGGGCAGCGACGTCGCTAGGTTGGGGAAGAGGCCAGGGAGGCATTGCGCGAACTGAGGGAGGAGGCGGTGTGGTCGTCTTGGGTGGAGGAAGGAGAGGCAGCAGCGGTGGCGGCGTGGGGAGGGCGAGATAGAGTTGGGAGATTTTTTTTCTTGAGAGAAGCGGACGAGGCAGAGTGGGAAGCAATAAAAAGGCAAAAACAAACTAACTTATTTGTGCCATAGATATACAACAGGTTGATACAACTTACCTTGTTGGGGTTTTCTCTCCCAAACTTATTATCTTGAAAATGTGTCTTACTCGAAACTATATAGTGGAAATATTCATCCTACCACACTAGATTTTTCTACAATAGGGCCTGTGTTTCTACCAGCTCACCTCCGGACTATTGTTGCCATACTTTAGTGTTTTATATATGTGGATGTCCAACATCTGTTGCATCTCACATATTCTGATGTCAAGGTTCTCCACTTGATGTGTGAGGTGAGGAGGTGTCGCGATGGAGGCCAAGTGGGCAACCATAGTGCTCGTAGGTCAAGGTCGAGTGATGTGCACCATAATTGGGTGATAGCCTTTAGAGCTCTCTATAGAGGTTTCCACTACCACTTCCATGGTAGTAGGACCCTCTTGGCAATGAGACCCCCTACTTAATTTGATTTAGGTGGTTGGTTCCAACAAGCTTTTGTGATAGCCTTGTTGGTTCCACCCAACTATGGGTGGTGTAATACGTGAGGTCGAACAATGTTGTTGCTCTAGGGCCGCTTGAGCTCGTCTACACCTTCTAGTAGCCATTTCACCTGAAAAACTCTTGCGTGTAGCTTCTTTCTTCTTAGTTCAAGAGTTATCTTTTTCATGTTATACAACTGGAAGGTCACACATGACAAAGCGATCTCAATTGTATAGCTGCGGTAAGTTGTGAATAAAGATACATCGGAAGCAACTCTAAGCATATGAGCCTGCACAAAATCTTCTTCGTATAGGAGTTGGCGACTGCCATCAAGATAAGTACTACTACCTTGTTGAGCAAACCAAGACCACTAGAAATTCTAGTGACAAGCGGAGTGCATTATATTCTACACTACCAACTGGAGTGAAAACAACCTTTCAATGCTCAATCGTCACAAACTCACAATGATAGGTGAAACATGAATTCTATTAACCATGCATACAAGATATTTAGCTCATCAATTCGAATAGTATGTCCTAACAACGGCCCTAGGATTTAGGGTCATAGCAATCCAACGATGCAAGAATTCAAGAGTAGGATTGTGAATATCATTGGTCCTTGGGACAAAGCAAGAACTATGGCCCTGTTTGGGACCGCTTATAATCGATTATATTGTAACTATCATACCACAGGGACTTTTTGATTCTCAAATCTCAATTGTGCTAGTTCAAAGTGCTGAAATGGAGAGAATTAGAAATAATTGAAGCATTTGGCAAGATTCTCGCTTTTTTCACCGAGAATCAGATTATATAAGCGGAAACAAACAAGGCCTATGTCTAGTTATTTCAATCCAAAGCTCTTCATGATCAAACTTGTAATCTCTACATGGGCAGTACATGTAGCCTTCATCACGTAGATTACGCATGACATAAGCTTTGGTCATCTGGATAAAAAATACGATGCCTTTCACAAATTGAAGGTCTGAATAGGCGAGATGGTACATCTATCCTCAATCCATGAATAAACAAATGGTATGGTATTGGATTTAGTTGAAGTTCAAAACTTATGTATGCATAAATAAAAGAGGGTGAGACATCATTTAAATTTTGTTACAAAAATGCTGATATCCATCACCCAGTTTTTTAACAATGAATGTCCAATAATAATGAATTTCAAATCTCATAGCAACCACAGCTAGAATATAAACCGGACGATAATCTCATTTTATGAAAGGTTGCCTCCAATTAAACTGCCACATCTATTAGAGAATCAATCAAATTATTCTAAAATGAACTGGGCCGCTAGCTAATGGCACCCTTAAAGTACCAATGTTACATGGGTTCATCTAAAAATTGGTAGGCCTCATGAACAATTCTATTCTATGCTACACTATTACAAAGAAACTAAAGGAACCAACTAAGCATCACATTTACTAGAGAATCAAAAGCATATAACGAATCAAACTAGCAACAAATTAAATAGGTCTATAGGTACTAATTAACCATAAATTACCGGTACCAAATAGATTCACCAAAAATTCAGATGCCTTCATGAAGGAAATGCTCTCTAAAATGAAGAAAGAACAAGCGTGAGAATAATAAAAACAATAATCAACAAAACAAGCTACAAATTCATTGGATTGCTAGTTACCCACCTTAAAGCAAGGGAATCATGTTCATTCTTAAAAAACCAGGCCCTTCCATGAGCATTTTGGTGAAAAAAACCGCACCAATGGAGAGAGAGAGGTGGGGGAAAGATGTCTCCTTAGATAGGTGTGCTCGAATGGGAGGGAGGAGGAAGAAAGGGGTTGGGGTTTTATAATGTAGTTAGGACACTACTGAGTTGATTACAAACTGACAATGATATCATGTTGCTGCTGCTAGATCAAGACACGACATGGCATATCATTATTGTCGGGTTGTGGCCTGACCCGACAATGATATCCACATATCACTTTTGTTTCGAACATATAATCCCTGTTGGCCCACCACTATCGTATATGTTGGAGCCGGCAGTGACCCCGCTTCACTGTTGAATCGTAAGTCTAGGATCTAGATAATGATATATCACTGTCAAGTCATGGCAAACCGACAGTGAGTGGGCTTCACTGTCGGGTCTAGAGGATCCCAATTGATCATATGCTTTACAAACTGGTAGTGAAACATGATCATTGCTGGCTCGGCACACCCGATAGCAATGGGCTGGCAGAGATTGTGTGTTCTGCGGACGTGCAGTGTTAGGTTAATTATATTTGCATACTGAATTTTTTAACAAATATTTTACTTGTATACCGAAGGATTATATATCGAAATGTCTTGACTATAGTAATGTACATTAAAATCTTTGTCCCACCACTCCTTAATTACCTGAGCGGTACAGAACCAGCCAAA